TTCTTTCACCAATGGTTCCGGCAGGATAAAATGATCCAAAACCCTGATTTTGGGACTGTAGGGGCTGTGATCGAGCCGCCATATTAGGAAAAATGGGTGGTTTCCTTAAATTGCTATATTGCGAACTCATACTAAAAGTTCTGAGCTGTCAAGGCAAATTGTTACATTAAAGAGCCCTTTAAATTTTTGGATCTCTTAAGGGGTATACACATATATATGTAAGTACATAAGCAAATTGTGCAATTATAAGAAGATTCAAAATCATAAATTTTTATAAGTAATAGGTTAGTATTAAAAACTTAAAAGAAAAGACTTACGTTGAAAAAATTACCACATTGAAAAAAAAATACCAAATTACCAAACTCGTTCTAAAAAGAAAAAAATTACCAGTTTTGGTAAAAAATTACCAAAGCGGCAACGCTGGTCACCAACAATTCAAAACCCCAAAAACATAATGAAAATAAACAAAATTCTTGCAAGCAACAACTACCCGCACCACTTAATACAAAGTCTAATGAAACAAAAAATGTCAGAAATAAACAACGAATATAACAGAGCACCGAATACGAAAACAACCAACGATACGAAGCGATATCAGAGCATACATCCCTCGATTCTGGCAACAACTTGACCATGACATAAACGCCAACAACCTTAATGTAATGCTGGCATACCGATCAAACTGCACGCTTTCTTCAATATTTTCCGAAACGAAAACGCCACTACCGCTCCACCAACAAAGCAACGTGGTATACGAAGTTACATGCAAAGGAAGCAAAAACGAAAACTGCAACAAAGTGTATATTGGAACAACCAAGAGAGCATTGGGTGTTCGTCTGTCAGAACACGAAGCAGATATCAAGAAAAAACAAGCAAAGCACAGCTTTATCGCAACACATACTAAATAGTGGTCACACAGCTGATCTAGCCAACGTCAAAATATTAGACAAAGAACGGAGGAAAAAACAAGATACACCAAAGAAAGCCTGCAAATTCTACAGAAAAGGGAAAAAACAATTAACAAGAAGGAGGACGCTGATGACATCGCGGCTGCTTATATGCTATGCTCGTAGTTAAAGTTTAGTATGACGAGAGTACCACATATTGATGCTTTTAATGTTTAATGTTTTAGTGTAAATTTTCAATGTTTTAAATGTTTTAAATAACTCAAATGTTTTCTAAATATTCAGTGTAAATTAAACCATAAGTAAGTGCCATAAGAAAAATTAAAACCTCTAATAGTCTCTTTGTGTTCGTATTTTCATTTGTTTATCTAACATTTAACTTTGTATTCATGTATTGGGCAAAACGTGAAGAAAAAAGTAATTTTTCTTGCACACATACGCAATCGATCGACTAGCCTACAACAACAACAATATTTAATATTAAATTCGATCAACAGCTTACTTAAAACTTTACCAATTTTATTTTTAACCTCCTTCAAAATATTCTTTTTTTATTTATGTTATCCATAACTTTGGATCACGTTAACCGATTTCTATAATTCTTTTTTAAAGGTAAGCCGGTACCTTAGAGGCGGTCCCATACTTATTTCGTTTAGATCCGATCATTGGGTCATGAAGAAATTAACGGTACTCTTTAAATTTGTATATGAGAATTGAAGTCGGTTTGGTTTTTTGCTTAAAAATTTCTTGTTAATTTTATGTGCATAGACTTTGTTAAGTTTTTGGTGCCATAGTAATTAACCGAAAAAAGCTCAAATATCAGGGTTGCAAATGACATAAAACAGCAAACTTATTACTTTTGTAATAGAATTTTGTGTTAAAGCGGGCTTTAGGTAAAACATAGTACTAAACTGACTAAGATACATGCTCTAGCTTTTTATATTACTCTAACTAAAGCTGGCTCTAACTAAGGACCATGATTATGCGCCAATTCTTTTTTTCTAGAAATTTAATCAAAATATTTGAAGTTTTAATGGCCATTTCTTTAAAATTTGGCGATTTTTTGAGTTACATATATGGTTTTCGTTGTACCATTAATTATATTTTTGTAAAAAATCAATTGTCTAAACATGTAAAGACAAATTGTTTTCAATTATCGGGTCACCAGTGTATATGTACATTAAGTAACGTAGTTCATTTTGTTGTATGGTTAACAAACATTTTAGTGTCATCTCTTTGACAATAGTCTTGCAAAGCCCTATCACGGTGCACGGATTTCATGGTAAAAATCGGTTTTCCTTTGGGACAGCTTTGTAAATCGTGCAATCCGTGCACCGTGCAAGGGCCTTGTAAGACTTCGAGAGTACTCCTAGTGTTTAATAATATTCACCTCCATACACATTCATGTTCATTTTAATAAATACAGAGCACAGAATGCGCACGTTTGCATAAGCATTTCTGCTACCATCTCTTCCCCTTTATCGCTTGTTCAACCAGCTCAAGTGGTGACAGGTAATAAGATCAACGGAAATAAGGTCAATTGACTTTATTTCCCACCCTGGTGCGAAATAAATTCAATTGACATTATTACCTTTTTAAAAACGAAATAAAATCAATTGACATTATTTCTCTTTCAAATATTAAATTTGCTTAGCTTCGCGGCGGCACGCGTCAACGCGCCACACCGCGCGCGTCGCGCTCGCGCTCGCTCCCCGCGTACCCCGCGCGACCGGCGCGCACACCACGTCACGCTACGCCGCGGCCCCCCCGGCCCCCTGCCCCGTCTCCCGCCGTGCTGTAACGCAGGTAGATTTATTTTTTGTATACGTTGAAATAAAATTTGTATATATTTTAAACATCGAGGGCTTATATTCAATAATACTCTCTATCTGCACACTTTTCACAAAGATGAGATTCTGATATAAAAATCCACCTAAGCTTTAACTGTCATCAGTGATATTAATGCTACCTTATATAACGACAGGTAATAA